CGCCTCTGGTTCCCCAGTCTGGTTCTGTGTGTGCCTCCCTTCCTCGGGTTCTGTGGTCTCGTTCCTCCAATTCCTGTCCTGTGACTCGCTTGGTTCCTCGGTTTCCCTGGTCTTGTTCCTTGCTTGGGTTCCTCGGGTTCCCCGGTCTTTCTCTATGCTTGGGTTTCTCGGTTTCCCCGGTCTTGTTCCTGTCCCCCCGGCATTGCAAAGCCATGCGCAAAAATATGCCAGACAACGCCAGGCAATGCAGTGCAGAGCAATGCCAGTCCGTGCAAACGAACGTCGCTCAATGCCGATCAACGCCAATCAGCGCCAAGCAAGGCAAGATAAGACAAGCAGCATGAAACACCTATGCGTGGATGCCGCGGGTTGGCGCCAAGCCGCCAACATGGTCACTCATGGGTCGAGGTGGGTGTCGCGTGTGGGGATGAAGTCGAAGTCCGTGCCAAGGGAGCTGGAGTCGAAGAGATGACCAATGTAGCTGGAGTCAAAGAGATGTGAATTTGGATCTGAGATGGCCACAGAAATTGGACACGTGACCTCCGCGATCGAAGAGACGACCATAAAAAACAGACTCGGAAAAACAATAACCATATTTGAAAATCAACCATATGAAAAAAAAATGGACAACGTGGGAAACGGAAACAACGAAACCGGAATACCAAACTCGACAACATAGGAGCCGGAATCGGCGAGGTGGGAGCCGGAGTCGGAGATCAACCATTTGAAGCAACGCCAAGCAATGCAAAACAATGAAAGGCAATGCCAGTTAAAGCTCCCAAACAACAAGTAAGAAACTCTCCCCAGTGATTGGGCTCGCGCTGGGTTCATTTCGGAACCTGAGCCAACACGCAAATAAGATAGTGCTTGAACATGTGTGCTTGCACTCTGGAGGGGGTCGGACCATCAAGCCTTCGGTCGGGCATGTCCCCCTACAGGCGGATTTTGGACGAACAATAAAAAACGTACTCCAAAAAACACTCACAAATAACCAAAATATCAGAACAATTGTCCCAATACTATTTTTTTATACCTATTTTTGAACATTCCTCCTGTAGAGGAACAGGCCCGACTTAAATCAAGCCCAGGATTTTCAACATCCTGGATGGGGCTCCACTGCGCGCCCGGCGGCAGCCCAGTTGGCCTCATCTTCATCTGGAGCCTCCACGCCCTTCCTCCGCGCCCCGCTCCTCACTCATGGTCCGCGCCCTCCTCCTCCGACTCCTCCCAGCCTGTGGCAAGGCCCCTCGACCCAGAGGACGAGGCAACAGAGTGGCTTTTCGGCGGCGCGGACGAGGACGATCCGTGCCCGCCAGATTTGGCGTGAGATGCGCCTGAGAATTCCTTGCGTGCCAGCGTGCTCCGGCAGAGCGTTTCCGGAGCACGCTGGATGAATCTGAAGACGGCTCTCTCGGCACCAGGGTCTTGGTGTTGGTTTCGACATTCCCCTTGGTGCTGCGATGCCGAGCTGCGAGCTGTGCCGCGTGGACGGCCACACTGCGTAATCCTTACAGCGTAATCCTCCTCCTGTTCCTCCTCCTCCTCCGCCTCCTCCTCCTCCTCCGCCGCCTCCTCCTCCTCCCTCATGGTCCGCGCCCTCCTGGTCCTCCTCCTCCTCCTCTTCCTCCTCCTCCGCAGGCCTGTGACTGAAGCTCACCAAGGGAGGAGACGGAGGGGAAGGCTGTATAGGCAGTTGCGGCAAGTGGTGCCCAACAGGCTTGCACACGATGGTGGTGGGAGGCAGTCTAGCGAGAGGAGGAGCACCGTGGACGCCCGAATGTTGTGGGATAACTGCGGCCCGGGATAATTCCGGTCTGGGCGCCCGAGGCACGCATCTGCAGTACCCCTGACCGGCCCCAGCCCTTAGGGTGTGGGGCTCTGAGCACTATGATTAGGTCGGGCATGTCCTCCTACAGGCGGATTTTGTAAGACAAATGAGCAACCGTCAAACCATACATGCAAACATAGCCAACCATTGCCGAACCATCGCCCCCAGACCATGTTTTAACTACTCTTGCATATTCTTCCTGTAGAGGGACATGCCCGACTTACCACTATGACTTGTCCAAATGAGCGACGATCAAACACGGGTCTTACGCGAGATGGGGCAGCGACCATACGCGGCGGCTTACGCGGGCCACCAGCGCGGCAAGTCAAAGTGGAGACGAGGGAGCTTACGCGCGACCTTACGCGGTCAGCTTACGCGCGAATGTCGGCGCAAACAACCCCGTTGCTTGCGCCCCTCAAGTGGCGGTGGGTGCAACGGCGGGCGCGTGGCCAGGCCCGCGGCCAAGGCCGGGGAGGGCCCACGCCAGCGGCCCCTTCTGATTAACCAAAAAAAGGGCTCCTAATCCTTTGACAGGGGACCTAAGTTAGGAGGGCCACAAACATTGTGAATAGGGACTCTTTTCTGCAGGTGTATCAAAACAACACGTCCAGATCTATTCTCCCTAAAGCAAAGACCTCAGTGAGGCTACGTCTTCATCGTGTTATCAGGGTTAGGGGTTCTTTTATCCTCAATGGCCTTCGTCCCTTCCACACCCCCATGCGGTGACGAAGGCCCCCCCCACATCCCCATCCACAGGAGTAGGGCAAACATCTCAAGGTTAGTGGGGACAAGGGGCAAGGCCCCTCCTCTTCCTCCTCCTCCTCCTCCTCCTCCTCCTCCTCCTCCTCCCTCCCCCTCCCCCTCCTCCTCCTCCCTCCTCCTCCTCCTCCTCCTCCTCCTCCTCCTCCTCCTCCCTCCTCCTCCTCCTCCTCCTCCTCCCTCCCTCCTCCCCCTCCCCTCCTCCCTCCCCCTCCCCCTCCCCCCCCCCCCCTCCCTCCTCCTCCTCCTCCTCCCCTCCTCCTCCTCCTCCTCCTCCTGCTGTGGGTGGCGATCCGCCCGCAGCGTCCGCTCGTCCTCCTCCTCCGCCTCCTCCCCAAGTCCCCGACGTCGACCAGCGCGGACTCCGAAATCTGGACTATTCCCCGAGCTCTTCATCCTGAGCCGCCTTTGACGCCCCCCGCGGCGAAGGCCCCCCGTTTGCCGAGCGTGGCCACAAGATCCTGCCGCCGTCCGTGATCCTTTCACGACGCGAGGGGGGGTCTGGGGCATCCTCTCGCTGTAGGGTGGAGGAGGCGCCTGGATTAGCCGGGATAGACCTGGTCCGGGTAGGGGCCTGTCTGGTACCCCCAAATGCGATCTGGGAAGGCCCTAGAACCGCTTGATCTGGAAGAGCTCCTGCTTCAGACGGAAGAGCCCTGGACATTGTCTACATGAGGCAGACTGTGATCCGCGAGGAATCGAGTCGAATGCAATCAGGGGCAGCTCCAGCGCGAAAACGGGAAACCCGAATCAGGAGATATCCCTGACGATTTGTTGTGGATGTGGCTTAGAGTCAGGCGCAAACTCCCAGGCAGCAACAGGACCGAACGAGGGCCCGAAAAAAGCGAACAGGCCAGGGCCAGAGGAAAACACGACGGCGGAGGGACAGCGCCCGAGCGAAATACCAAGGCCCGAAACCCGGAGGGACAGCTGAGCAAGGCAAGCTTCGGCGGCAAGTGCAGTCTGTTACCTTGAGAGATCGAAGTCCTGGGGCGGCCACCGGCCTTTGGGAACTCGCTGGCTTCGTGTAGAACGCCCCCACCACCACCAATCTTTACACCTCCCCCGCCCCTTAGCAATCAAGAGGGGACACAGGGAGCAGTGCTCGACCCCGACGATTCGGGTGCCATCCCCTGTCCTGACACCTCGGGGCTCTGGCGGCGGGGGAGCGGAGGCGTGGAGGGGGGCCTGGCGGCCTCCCGGGCGCGGAGGCCCCCGGAGCCGTGCGGTAGACCGCGCGGTGGCCTCGAGACCCCAAAAGACCTCGCTGCGTGGCCCGTCGCCGCACGGCTCCGGGACCCTGGAGGCCCCAGCCGCGCGAGACTTTGGGCGTCGGCGGCAAGGCAGGGGACGCCTGCGCTGGCGACGGGAGGCCGAAACGGGGATGCCGTTAGAGCGACTTGGGCCACCATGCAGGCGGAGGAGCGGCTAAGAGCGCGGCCGAAACAGGGGCGGATGGAGCAATCGCACGAGACATCCTCGGGGGACGATCCGCATCCCAACGAGCCACGGCGCTGGGATCTCCGCCGGAGGCGAGGGAGGCCCAAGCAACAATGGTCTGTATGCGTTCGCATCCTCGGGGGAGAAGGATCCGAATCCCAAAACCGTGCGCTGGCCCCGAATCCCCAAGGACTCGCCCACGGTCTTGGCACGGTGTGGTTACCGCAGCGACTGGGGCCCCCGAGCTCCCGTGGCGGGCCGTGCCTCGAGCCTCTCCTTCCCTGGCCTCTCTCCTCCTCCTCCTCCTCCTCCTCCTCCTGATCCTTCTGATCCTCCTCCTCCTCCTCCTCCTCCTGATCCTTCTGATCCACCTCCTCCTCCTCTTCCTGATCCTCCTCCTTCTAATCGGGAGGGAGGGAGGGACCAGAGGTCGGGGGGGGGGGCACGGAGATGGGGCAGGGCCAGACATGGAGTGGGAGGGAGCATCGCTCGGGACGGCCCCTGGAAGAAGGAAGCGCGTGAAGCGGGAGCATCTGGCTGGGCCCGTTCTCCAGCCCCACCCTGGAGTCGGCCCGTATCGGACGCCCACTCCGAAAGTGGCCGAGGATGTGCCGAGGAGGCAAGGATGCAATGATACCCTTGGGAAGGTTGCCCATCCTTACTATGCGGGTCGACTGTAGCCCTCTCTAGAAGAAGAAACAACTGCATAAACTTAAACTTTTGGCGCTTCGTGCGGATTCCTTGGATCTGCGCTGTACTCCCCCTCCCTGGCGCGCGGAGCGCGCCAGGGGCCGCGCCGGAGTCGCAGCTTGGGGGGGAGCCACGCGCGGAGCGCCAAAAGTTTATGTTTATGGTGTTTGTTCTTCTCCGACTGTCTGCGAGCCCCCGAAGAAGGGGCGATGATGACGGCGACGGCGACGGCGGCGGCGGCGCGGTGTGGTCACCACACCGTCAGGAGGCCGGGCCCAACGGCCTCCCATGCGCGGAAGCCCCCCGCGAGGATGCCGACCCGCTGCGCCGGGCTGGCCCTCTCCTGCGGGGGGCGGCGGCGGCGACGCCTACGCCGAGGGCGCCCCGGCGGTAACGCCTACGCCGAGGGCGCCTCGACGGCGACGACGAGGCCGACGACTACGCAGACGAGGCCGACGCTGAAGCTGACGCTGACGCCGACGACGACGACGCCGACGACGACGACGCCGCCGACGCCGCCGACGACGATGACGCCATGCGCGGCCTCAACGGCCCCCTGCCGTGACAAAGGAGGCGGAGGAGGCGGAGGATGCGGAGGATGCGGAGGAGGAGGCGGAGGAGGAGGCGGAGGAGGAGGAGGAGGCGGAGGAGGCGGCGGAGGAGGAGGAGGCGGAGGAGGAGGAGGCGGAGGAGGAGGCGGAGGAGGAGGAGGCGGAGGAGGCGGAGGAGGAGGCGGAGGAGGAGGAGCCCCTCGCTCTCGAAGATTCCTTCTTGCCGCCCGCGGAGGGAGGCGCCACGGAAGGGGATCGGCCTGGCGCTGCGCTGCCAGGGCTCGGTCGGGCCGCCCCTGACTGGGGAGGCCCCTCCAACGGGGACGTAGCAGCGGTCGGCGGCGAGTGAGGGGGGGAAGTGAGAAGGAGAAGGCCTTCGAACCCAAACATGCGACGTCCTGATTTGGACGGCGTCCCCGGAAGTCCCGACCCTGTCCCTGGGGCTGGTTTTTCATCCTGAGTCGTTTTTTGACGGTCCCGGGGCCCGGGGCCCCCAGGGGCAGAAAACTAAGGAACAACCTGCCGTCCTGATCTATTTACGACGATATCATATCTGGGAAGGAAGGCGGCGGGACTTCTCAGAAGCTCTCGCGCCTTCTGAACAGTTTTTTCTGTCATCGGGGAAGGCTTAGAAAACTTCTCGGGAGGCTGGGGGACTTCCGAACCTCTGAGAAGGCCTTCTCCTTCTTACCTCCCCCCTCGCTCGCCGCCAGTTCTGGCTCAAGCCTTTTGGCGGCTCGCTCGCACCTGAGCAGCGCGTCAAGAAGGTTCGTCGATGTGCAGTCGTCGGCGGAGCTTGCAACGAAAATCATATCCGCTGATCCCTTGGGATTCATCGGCGTGTGAGATGCTTCCCCCTCCACAAACCCCTCCCCCAGGAGCCTGGTCTGCTTGTTTGGAAGAGGGGTGGGTCTCCCCGAGCGGCTTGGGGGGGGGGGTACTTGGCTCCAGAAATTCTGCCAGGGGGGCATCGAGGGCCTCAAAACGGGGCAAGAGGGCCCCAACAGACCTCCAAGACGGTCCAAGAAGGCCCCGAGTCGCCGAAACATCGTCCCCAGACGCCCAAGATGGCCTCCAGACGGCCCAAGATGCCTCCAAGACGCCCCAGGAGGCTCTGAAGAGGCCTCCCAACAAGGCCCCCAGAAGCCAAAAACGTTGATTTTCATTTGTCCTTTTCGAGTTTTGTTTGCTCTCTCGCCTTTTCGGGCTTCCGACGCTCGAAGACGACCCCAGCGGCCCCCAAAACCGCCCGAGATGGCCCAAGAGGCCCCCAAGAAGGCCCCAAGACGGCCCAAGAGGGCCCCAAGACGGCCCAAGAGGGCTCAAGACGGCCCAAGAGGGTCCCAAGAGGGGCCCAACAAGGGGACGCAAGAGGCCTCCAAGACGGCCCAAGAGCCCTCCAAGACGTCCTCTAAGAAACCACCTGGTCCGATAGCTCGCCCGACTCCGTGTTCCCCGAAAGCGTTCGAAACACACTCGGGGAACGCGTGGCCCGATAGCTTGGCCAAGCTCAAACCCAACTTTCGGCCACGCAGGCGCTTCCAAAAAGGCAGGGGGCGGCGGTGATTCGCCGTAGGCGTCTTCGAGATAAATGCAACTCTCTCCTAAAGAGTCGGCGGTGCGGCGTAAGCCAAATAATCACTCAATTCGCCTCCCCAGACCCCCGACGTCTTGATTTTGCCACAACGCATCGGCCCCCAAAAGTCTGGACCCTTTCCCGGGGACCGGTTTTTCATTCTGAGTCGTTGTTTGACAGTCCCGAGACCCGGGAAGGGCCCTCGGGTGGCCGAAAACAGCAACAAAAACCTCCCGTCGTGATTCTTTCACGACTCGAGAGGTCTGGGTCTCTAGAGGCCTCCTAGATGGGGTCCGAGTAGATGGGGCCGGAGGATCTCACCGCATCGCCGATACATCGGCGATGCATCGGCCATGCACTGGCGACGTCGGCGATGCATCGGCGACGTCGGCGTGGAGAAAAGTGCGCCCCTCATCGAGCCGCATCGTCTGGGTCCTGCACCACGCTCTTCTGGGGTCGGAAGGCCGCACCGCATCGAGGACGCACCGCCGACACCGGGGCGGAGAGCGCACCGCCGGCGTCGGAGCGGAGAGCTCTGGGCTCGGGGTCGAGTCGCCTTTTTTTCGGGGGCGCGCAAACATGGATTAGCGATCCATGGATTTGGAGGGCGGTCGC